GTTTAGAAAATAAAAGAAAAGAACAATACAATAATGATTATTAATTAATCAAAAAAAGATATTATATCAAAACTTATATTATTTATTTATTAACGGTGTAGAGAAATGACGTTTAAAAAATATAAAAAAAGAATAAAATAAGTGGATGTACTCGATGAATATCGATGATATAACATTTTGAATAAAATCTGATTGAATATTAGAGTCACGAAGTTTAATTTTAAGGGTAGAGAAAAGTCAATGATTTTGAGTAGAAGAGACGTAAGCACGTTGCAGCATATGAACTAGAAGGAAAACAACCAACAGTAGGAGGAGAGGATTGTACGTGAGTATAAGCTCATCTGAAGTACTGTAATTGATTTATACCTTGATTACATTGTCCACAGTTGTGTTGTTGCAGTGAAATCTGTCTCTTCCACTCTGTTTCTCTGTTTCTCTCTCTCTCCATCTCACTATCTCTTCCTTTGAGTATATTTCAGACATTTATCAGGATAACATCAAACGTTAACGATGACATTGAAAATATAATAGTAGTAAATGCAATCCAATTGATGCATGCACATCTTCCTGTTATTCGATTGTCGATAAAATGTTATTTACTTTTTTAAACGTTTCTACGTCTCGTTGCATCTGATATTTTTTCCATAAATCTCAATATATGTATGTATATGTATACACGTGTACACCCGCAATTCGATTTATCCGAATCCCCATCTCGATGACGTTTCAAAGTTCGTATCACTGTATATATTTACGTGTAAAATATATATATATATATATATGTACATATATACAAGCTCGTGTAGAAAAGAAAGGTTGAAGAAAATTGGCCAACCCTTCGAGAGAGAAGAGTTCTATTTATCTCGCAAATTTGAGCGTACGCCATCGCTTATATATTCTTCGAACGAGTGCTACCTTTAGGGGAGAACAAGTAGTAAATTTATTCCAAAGCTCCAAAACGCGTTCCTTTACTCGCATACGATAAAAGCTCTGAGGAATATGTGTACTTTTTTTCCTTCCCCTTTCTCTCTTTCTATCCATCTATTTCTCTTTTTCTCTTTTTCTTCTTCTTCTTCTTCTTCTTCTTCTTCTACTACTATCATTTTTTGTATAAATTTTACGAGGAAAAAAAAAAAAAGAAACATGAAATCTGTAACATTTTACAGGCCATTTCCTAAAACTCAAATTTTCCCAAATTTCCCATCCCTTCTTCGTCTTTATTTTTCTTGTTGTTTTTTGTTCCTATTTTTTCTTTTTCTTTCCTTTTTCCTTGTTTCATCTTAAAAACACGTAGGTATTTTCTTGTTTTTTTTTTTTTGTTTAGGTTGATAGTATCTTCAAAGTTAGAGTCCTGTCTCTTGCATCGTATACGATAAGGATCGTTAATCGGTTGGCATTTGACGTTCTGACGTTTTGAGTTTATCGCAAAGAAGAGTAGAGTAATTTAATACAAACAATTTGTGGTTCTAGCCGTTGCTAATTATAAGTCAACATTTTATTAATCATATTATGTTTTTTAAAATTAACTTTTATTCTTTAATATAAGAAAGAAAACTTTAACTATATAATAAATAATAAATTAGTACTGCAATAAAAAAAAGTATATATATATATATATATATATATATTTGGCCTTGGGAAAATATATTTATTTTTATTGTTAAAAATTAAATAAATGTTACCGTCACTTTTTATTTGACAAATAAATAAAAATGTCTAAACATTTCTACGTGTTGTATTATATAGCATATAAGATTTGTATTACGTAATAGACACATATCATTTATATTACAATAGATGGGGAGGATGTATAGTAGCTATCATTTTGAAGGACAACATTTCTCAATTCGTTGAGAAAATTCGAGAACATCTCTTTGAAAGTTGTACAAACAACGGACTTGATTTGGAGGATCTGGTATTTCCTACGGAACCTAATCAAGGTGCTGCCATTTATATACTTTAGTTCCTGATTTTGTACGATACTTTTTTAAACGTTGTATTATTATATAATCTTAAGTAATATTAACGAGATAATCTCGTATTGATACTCTTCCTATGATTTCTTTTAGTACAATTATAATATATATATATATATATATATATTATAAATACATATACACTTATACATAAATTTATACGTATAAGTTTATGAATAATAAATTAATTAGTTTAAGATGATTAAGATATTATCATATATTCAGTACTAGTTAACATATGTTTACTCAGTTATTTAATATTATTATATCATATAATATTAATTGCAATAATTATCTCTATGGTGCATTATATAATATAATAATTAAATATTAAGATCACTCTCTGTGTAAAACACTAATGTGAATTAGAATCAAAATGTTATCAAGCAAATACGATATTAAATGTAATTCTTTTTAAATATACAAATGAATACGTTTGTAAAGTAATTTTGTTTTTTCTTTTTTCAATGATATATAAAAAAATTACTTTTAGTTCATCAAGTAAATATAAACATTGACAAAAATATTTCCCCAATTTTCAGCAGTATAATCTATCAACGAATGATTAATATAAATAATCAAACAAAACGCGCAACAACGAGTTACAATGGAATTCGTTATTCATCGTGACTATTAAAATTGTCCGCAAGGTTATTTGTTACGATTTTAATAGATACCTATATACGTACAGTTTGATGGTTATTGGCCTGCAGGAAACAATTAACACAGTACAATAGGTATGAGTGATCGAAATTTCCATTCTACGAAAGTTAGTCGAACTAAACGAAACTCGATGAGAGCAACGTTCTCTTCTCTCACAAAAAAAAGTGAAAAAGTTAAAGAACAGATAAACGGAATCAAGACCAATCAAATACTCCAATTAACTTTATTAATTACAATTCGAAAAACAATACAAAATAATGATTATTAATTAATCAAAAAAAGATATTATTTCAAAACTTATATTATTTATTTATTAACGGTGTAGAGGAATGACGTTTAGAAAATAGAAGAAAAGAACACACAATACAATAATGATTATTAATTAATCAAAAAAAGATATTATATCAAAACTTATATTATTTATTTATTAACGATGTAGAGAGGAATGACGTTTAGAAAATAAAAGAAAAGAACAATACAATAATGATTATTAATTAATCAAAAAAAGATATTATATCAAAACTTATATTAT